CCGAGGTGATACCTCCCTTGGCCACCAGGGGCCTGAGGCAGGTGTAGAGCTTGAACTTGTAAACCATCCAGGCCAGTAGTCTCCCTCAGCCCTGTGGTAAATAAGGTGCTGTGGAAGCACTCAAGCAAGTAGTAATACAGGACCAACAAGTGGCTACTGCTCCTGTCTGCTATAAGGGTCCTCTAGCTTGGGGCTGGTAGAGAGAGAAAGGAAATGGTAGTGAAAAGAAAGCAAGTGGAAGTATAATTTATGCCCAAAACTGAAAATGAGGAATTAACCTTGAGACAGGCTGGGGAAGAGCTTTCCAGATATACAGAACAACAAAAAGTCCTGAGCCAAGAAAAAGCTGTCCAAAGTTTAGTTGGAAGACAGTGGGGTGAGAGTATCTAGACATGAAGTTGGAGGGGTAGAAGGAGGTCAAATCTTGAAGGTCTTTTAGGTAAAAGTTGGTTATTCTGAGTGTAACAGAAAGCCATTGAAGGGTTTAAAGCAGGGTTACTGCGTAATCTGAGCTACATTAAAAAACACACCCAAACACCACAGGCTGTTATATGGAAAATGGATTATCCTTTATATTTTGAAAATGGTTCAAATCGAAATGCTTAACAAAAGATAATGGAGCAGGTTGTGTCCCCTTCTGTGAGTTACAAATAAATTCTTGGTGTAAGTTAAAGCACCCTTAGAAAATCAGACATGAGGGGCCGGCCTGTGTCTCACTCGGGAGAGTGCGGTGCTGATAACACCAAGGCCACGGGTTCGGATCCCATATAGGGATGGCCGGTTTTCTCTGGTGCTGACAACACCAAGAGGGTTAAGATCCCCTTACCGGTCATCTTTAAAAAAAAAAAGAAAAGAAAATCAGACACGAACTATTCATTTTCATTACTACTCTCTGTTCTCTCAAGAGAAATTCAAGCTTTATTTCAGCACTTGGTCCTGAAGTTACAGAGATTAATGATTTTTAAAATTTTGCAAATATACACCACACAAAGCGATCTACAGATTCAATGTGATCTCTATCAAAATACCAATGACATTCTTCACAAAAATAGAAAAAAAATCCTAAAATTCACATGAAACCACAAAAGACTCTGCATAGCCAAAGCAATCCTAGGCAAAAAAGAACAAAACTGGAGACACCACACTACCTGACTTCAAGATATACTACAAAGCTATAGTAACCAAAACAGCATGGTACTGGCATAAAAACAGACACATGGACCAGTGGAACTGAATAGAGAACCCAGAAATAAATCCATATATCTATAGCCAACTGATTTTTTTTTTTTCCTTTTTGTCTTTTTTCGTGACCGGCAATGGATCGCAACCCTCAGTGTCGCGCCCGTACCGGACCGGGACCAGCAACGGGATCGCAACCCTCGGTGTTGCGCCTGCACCTCGCTCAGCCAGTGAGCGGCCGGTCTGTATGTGGGATCCGAACCCTCGGCGGGAGCACCGCCGCGCTCCCAAGCAGCGCACTGTAGCAGTGCGCCACCGGGCCGGCCCAATATAGCCAACTGATTTTTGACAAAGGTGCCAAGAACATACACTGGGGAAAGGAGAGCCTATTCAATAAATGATGCTAGGAAAACTAGTTATCTATATGCAGAAGAATGAAACAACCTCTATGTCTCACCATATTAAAAAAAATCAACTCAAAATGGATTAAAGACTTAAATGCAGGACCTGAAACTATAAAACTACTAGAAGAAAACATAGGGGAAACACTTCAAGACATTGGTCTGGGCAAAAATTTTATGGAAAAAGCTAAAGCACAGTCAACAAAGGCAAAAATATACAAATGGAGGCTGGCTGGTTGGCTCAGTTGGTTAGAGCAAGGTTGAAGGGTTCAGATCTCCATACCCGCCAGCCACCAAAACAATACCCCAGAATAGAGACATGGGACTACATCAAGCTAAAAACTTTCTGCACAGCAAAAGAAACAATCAACAGAGTGAAGAGACAGCCTGCAGAATGGGAGAAAATATTTATAAAGTATGCATTCAATAAAGGATTATTATCCAGAAAATACTCAAACAACTCAACAGTAAAAAAAAAAAAAAAAAAAAAATGGTAAATGACCTGAATAGGCACATCTCAAAAGAAGACATACAAATGGCCAATAGGTATACGAGAAAATGCTCAACATCACTGGTCATCAGGGAAATGTAGATTAAAACCACAAAATATCATCTCACTCTAGTCGGAATGGCTATTACCAAAAAGACAAAAAACAGCAAATGCTGGAGAGGACTGGGAGAAAAGTGTAGCTGTTGAAGAGAATGTAAATTAGTACAGCCATTATGGAAAACAGTATGGAGGTTCCTCAAAAAACTAAAAATAGAACTACCATATAATTCAGCAATCCCACTACTGAGTATTTATCCAAAGGAAAGAAGATACCTGTACACTCATGTTTATTGCAGCACTATTTACAGTAGCCAAGATATGGAATCAAACTGTGTCCATCAACAGACGAATGGATTAAGAAAATGTGGTATATATACACAGTGGAATATGTCTTACCCATAAAAAAAAGAATGAAATCATGTCATTCGCAGCAACATGGATGAGCCTGGAAGACATTATGTTGAGCGAAATAATCAGGCACAAAAGGATAAATACCACGTTCTCACTCACGTGGGAGCCAAAAAATGTGAGCTCATAGGAGAGAGTAGAATTCAGGTTACCAGAGGGTGGGAAGGGTAATGGGGAGGGAAGATAGATATTGGTTAACTGATGTAGAATTACAGCTAGATAGGAAGAGTAAGTTCTAGTATTCTAGAGTAGTGCACGGTGTCTATAATTAACAGTAATTTATTGTATATTTTCAAATGGCTAGAAGAGAGGAGGTCAAATGTTCTCATCACAAAGAAATGATAAATGTTTGTGGTGATAGATATGCTAATTAGCTTGATTTGACCATCACACAGTGTATACAATTATCAAAGCATGACGCTGTACCCCATAAATACGTACAATTATTTACAAAGAAAAATTAACAAAAAAAAATCTGCAAATAAATGCATGGACAAGGGTGTGACAGTGCGTCATCAAAAAGTAAATTCCTCGGGGCTGGCCCGTGGCTCACTCGGGAGAGTGCGGTGCTGATAACACCAAGGCCACGGGTTCGGATCCCATATAGGGATGGCCGGTTGCTCACTGGGTGGGCGTGGTGCTGAC